TCAGGTTCCCTTCCAAACTCTGCTAAGCCTCATCTTTCACAAGGACTCCCTCTTCATATCCCTCCAGATACTAATATACCCCTCCATAATCTTATATTTCTTTTATGTATTATTTAGTATATGTTTATATTGTATGCACAAGCTCTCTCTTTGTATTAATGTAAAAATCTTTGAGAACACAGACAGTTTTCTTTATTTGAATGCTCCTTACCTAGCACAGTGCCTGGTCTACAGTAGATGTGTAATGAATGCTTATTGCTGTGAATGATTTTGGACATGAGTTATTCCAGAGCATGGTTGAGTGTTTCCTATGCAGTGCAAATATTTGCATCTTTCTTTAAAGATAATTCTTTCTTTCCAAGGTTGGAAGAACCAACACACTGACATTTTATTTTGGGAGGGATTGTTAGAGTAGGGCTGCCCCAGTATGAGTGTTAGAGAAGGGATAGAATGCCAGGTCTCCACTCCCATGAATCTGAGATTTGTGGGACAGCAGACTTCATCGGGTTCAGAGGAAGGAGAGATAGGATCTGCTGGTTATTATTGGGGTACAATCTGATGCAGAATACAATGAGGTTATCTGGTCTTAAAGTGGCTGAATGAATTTGCCTCATTCTGTCAGCTAATTAATTCAGCTAAAACTAACCAATAACATATCCTTCCAAATTTGCTTTTTTTTTGGTTGTTCTGGAGCCAGCGACCCTATGAGGGCAACTGGGGACTTTGCGAATCATTTAGGCCATGTAGGAATCCTCTCTGCCCCTGCCCCCACCCCTTGCCAGTTATTTATATTTTTTATGTGCCTTGTAACTTTATCGGGGACTCACTTCATACAAATTCCCTGCAGACGACCTTGCCCTCAGCATCTCTGTAGGGGGAACAAAGTTTTTTTCCCCTATATACTTTTTTTCCTTGGGGGCATGAAGCCAGGTTTCAGGGGGGAAAAAGCCAATGAATATCCTATCCCTTTAATTTTTTTCCCATCTGTGGTCGTTGGTAAGAGACTGAAGGCTTTGGAGTTGGACAGTGTGTTATTGACAAAAGCATTTGGCACCTGTAGAGATCCGATGATGAATGAGATGAATACCTTGGAATCAGCTGGTATCCAAAGAAGTATCTCCAAAAAGGGAAAAAAAATGGGCTTAAAAAATTGTGTCATTTAACAAATGTGCTCTGAATTGAGAATTGTTTTCTCATCATATGAAATCTCCTAATTGGTCAGGGGATGAGAGAAAGAGAGAGAGAGAGAGAGAGAGAGAGAGAGAGAGAGAGAGAGAGAGATTGATTGAGATTTAAATGGAATATGTAGGTAATTCTTAAGAGTGTAATTTTAAAAGACAAAATGACACATTTATATGTTTCTGCTGAAGCTGTGCCCATTTTTCTGTAATACTTTATATATAAACAATGCACTGATGAGTGAGAGCTCATGAGATAATGTGTTTAAATCACTTTGCAAATCTGAGTGCAAACATCAGCCATTTGCACACATATTCCCATATCTGGACACATGCGCCTCATTGTTAAAGCAGCCTACCATAACGGAGTCCCTCCCTCCTCCTCAGTTTCAGGGCAGGGCAGCTCTCCTGAGCCCTAGCCCAACTGAAGCCCCAGGAGCTTTTCCCATTTGCTTGTGGCTCCCCTAGTAAATCTAATAATGGACTTTGAGAAGGAAGCTGCTTGATGGAAGGAATTTGAGAGTATTTCTAAGCACATCATCTCTAATTTAAACTTACGTCTTAAGATGCGGTGAGGTGCAGTCTGGCACAGCCCTGGGAGCGGTCCCCACTTTTTATGACTTATTCATCACAATGCCCCTGGGAGGTGGGCTAGGATTGGATTTAACAGATGAGAAAACTCAAGACATCAAATGGATAAATTACTTTTTCTGGGCTTCTACAGGGAAATCAGAAGCAGTGTTAAAGTTAATACTATTAAAGATCCAGGCACTTGTTTACCCCACTTCTGGTTCTGACACTTACTAATGATTTAACTAAAGTTACAGACAAGTCACTAACTTCGGAGCCTCAGTTTTCTTACCTGTAGGACATCACAAAAACTGTAACATGCATTTATTCAGTTGTTTTTCAGTTGTATCTGACCCTCTATGACCCCATTTGGGGTTTTCTTGGCTAAGATGATGGAGCACTTTGCCATTTCTTTCTCCAGTTCATTTTACTGATGGAAATAGAGGCAAAGAGGGTTAAGTGACTTACCCAGGGTCACACAGCTAGTAAGTGTCTGAGGCCAGATTTAACCTCATGAAGATGAGTGTTCCTGATTTCAGGCCACATATTCTACCCACTGTGCCACCTAACTGCCTATGCAGCTAACAGGTACCTAACAAGGTTGCTACGTATGGGATAATGCAAACTTTAAATCCCTATATGAATGCCAATTATTTATTATTATTGGTCCAAAAGCAGTGGCTAGATGGTTTAATGGTTAGAGTGCTGACCTCAGAGTCAGGGAGACTTGAATTTCATACCTGCCTCTGAAACTCACTAGCTGAGTGAGCCTTTACAAGTAACCTCTTGGTCTCAATTTCCTTGTCTGTAAAACAGGGATAACAGCACCTAGCTCCTAGTGTTGTGAGGATCCAATGAGAATTTTTATAAAATGCTTTGTAAACTTTAAAACACTAGTGGTGGTGGTGATGATGATGATGGTGATGGTAGTGATGATGATTAGAGCATTTCTGGGGGAGCTGAAAGGTTAATGGACTTACTCAGGGTTAATACAACTAGTATGGCTCAGACTTGACCTGAATATCCAGGGCTTTTAGGCTCCAAGACTAGCCCTCTATTTGCTATGCCCCATTACCCTTATCATCTCTCCCAAGGCTTTTCTTTTGTTTCCAATGGAAAGATGGGCGACTCTTGGTGAGCCACAGTCATCAGCTGATGACCTACTGAGTGTTCCATTATTGACTTCCAAGCAAAGGAGGCACACAGAAATAGGCTGACGTGAAAGGAGAGAAATGCTCCAAAGAAATACATGTGTCTGGAATGTGACCTTGGTTCTGTTCTTCTATAACTATAACCAGACATGATGCAAAAGAAAATGCTGGGAAATCATTAGTTTTCAAAAGGAAGAAACAGCCCATTTTCTGTATATGCCTTTCCAAATGGGGGAAAAGCTTGACCATGAAGAGATCTGGTGAGAGGTACCTGGAGGTATTTAAAAAGTCTAGTTTCAAAACATTCATAAGGGGAGTTAGTGGCTACACCTTCACTTCTGAGTGAAATGACTTCTCATTGTTTCTGGGCAAGTGTCCAGAATGGGTCAGGGTCCTTGGAAACACTACTGGAACTCTGTAGGAATACAGTATGTGCATTGTCTGGAAAGCCTACTAAACAGAGGCAGGACTAAGGTGAGGTGGGTGGCGCTTTGTTCTAGATGCTAACATTTAGAGAGTATTTATACTTACTTGAAATGGTCCAATGCCTTAGAAACACCTGTGCTTAATATCTTTTATTAAAAGTTGAAAAAAAACCCCTTCTCTGCCATGAGGATTGTGCTGGCACCTCCTCTGTCACCCAATGCCATCCAGGCAGCAATGCACCAGCAGCAGTGTGATGATGTCACGAGGATTTCATGAAGAGCAATGGGGTCCATGTACCCAAATGCATTTGTCTTTAAAAGTTGATTCTAGTGTCCATTTAATAACAAGCTTCTTGAGGGCAGGACATAGGGGTTTTTATTTTTAATTTTGACCTTCCTTTGCATCCAGTGTGCCTGTCAACAAGGCAGAGCTTAACAAATGTTTGTTGGTTGATTAATTGACTCTCATGCAACTTGTCCTGAGAACGTACACATGTGCGTGAGCACACACACACACACACACACACACACACACACACACACACTGCTAGTAGCAGCTCTGCCTCACTGTGTGTGTGCATGTGTGAGTGAGAGGAGAGATCATCTTCAGTTAAAATAAATGATATAAGAAAACAAGCAATGCATTGGAAACATGAGAAAAAGCCAACATCTCTTTAGTCAAAATTGCTATCAATGGATCCATCATCCTCCATTACAAAAGCTCTCATTGTGTTCTTGAGCCAGCTTGGGTCATCACCACAACACAGGAGGAGATACAGTTGGGGCATAATTTCACTTTGAGGGCTCCTTTGGAATGTGCCAGGTATTTTGTGGGATCTCACCTGATACATAGAAGGAGAAAAGAGAAAGAAGAGTCTTCTCCTTCATTTGATGAAAATGGGAGTCTGGCAGTTGTAATCCTGTTGGCTTTCATGCAAACAGACTTGCCTGGCATCTTGGAGATTGTTCGGATACAGATTGTATCCCTGCTATGTGCTTGTATCTATGCCATGACCCTTCTCTCTCCATGCCCCCAGTAGAATGTCAGCTCTTTGTGGGATAGGGTATTTCCTTTTTGTCTTTGGTGATGTATGCTGTCTGACACAGAATCCTTATTTTCCTCCAATGTTCATGGAGCTCAGCTGCCATGGCTTTTGTGAAGAAATGCCCTAATATGCTCTCTCTTTTGTAAAATGATCTTCTATCTACTTATCTGTCTGCATGAATGTTGTATTTTTCTGGGTTCCTCACCCTCAACTACTTCCCAGTAGAAAGCCACCTGTACAACCTGGGACAAGGAATTATAAGGGCAGGGACTGTCTTTTGTTTCTTTTTGTATCCTCAGCACTTAGCACAATGCTTGACACATAGCAGGCACTTAATGAATGTTTGTTGAATTAAATTGAGTTGAATAGCCCTGGACCTCAGTTTCCTCATTTGTAAAGTGAAAGGGTTTGTTTTAAAGGCGTTATAGCCCCTTTCAGCCCTGATATAATGGTCTTAGGAATGCAAGATCTGTGAGGGCAAGAACCAGATTATTTTCTGCCTCAGTAACCCAAAGTACTTTGCACAATATTTTAGACAAAGTAATTGCTTAATAAAGACTTATTGAATTTACTAAATAGGATTTTGTTTCTAGCACATGAACCTGAGGTCTGTCTTTGTTTCCTTTACAGACTCTTTTTCAGGAGTATGGAGTTGTCCACTTACATTTATGTCTGGGAGAATTATAGACTCTTCAATCTGCCTTGGGATTCTCCATGGACGTGGTATTTGACCTTCTTGGGAGTTGACCTAGGTTACTATTGGTTCCACCGCATGGCCCACGGTAAGTTACAAGGAGACATCTCACTGATAATTTGTGTACATGATGGTTGTGAAGTGTATTGAGATTGATTACAGGGATGCCTTTGAAATCTGAGTGGAAAAAACCTTGTCATTCTGAAAATGAGGAAGAAGACAAAGGAGGGAATCAGCATATTCTTCAGCTCCCCCTCCCCCCACCCTGGCCTTTCCCATATTCATCACCAAAGGCTGGAGAATATTGGAAATTGTCTGAGTCTCCCACCCACTGTCTTACATCCGGTTTTCCTTGTTCCTGGTGACGCCATCCTGAGATAAGTGGAAAGACACTTGTAAACAGTGTGGCCGCCCCCATCAACCTGATTGAATGTGAACTTGGAAGAGAGTTGGAACAGTCCTGCCCAGGTAATGCGGGGCAATGCCAGGAATACATAAGCCTCATTCAACCTCTGGCCATCCCTTTTGCCTTCCCAGGGAAAATGTAATCAGCTATGAACTCAGCAGATTGAGGCATTCCAGGGTTACCAGGCTTCGGGAAAAAAGGCCAACCTTACCTTTTCTATAGAACTCTTGCCAGGCTGGATTCTAGATTGCCCCCTTGAGAGGGAGAGGGGCCAAGGAAATGTAGAGAAGAGGTGCTATCCCTGAAGCCCTATAGGGACTGGCCAGGGTCCAGAAGGGACTGCAGCTCTGGCAGGGAGGGGAAAATGAGGTCACAGCTGGAAGAGGTTGATGTTGGTGGCAGAAGATGGGCTTCTGGGATGAAATCGGGATGAGAAGGGAGTGTTCGCCTTGAAACAATACTGTGGAACGGAACTAAGCATTTTGGTGGGTGGGTGAACTGAGTGGGTGGGTAGGAAGGAAAAGGAGGAGACCTGGAATAATACTGAGAAGGAGGGTGGGAGGTCGGGTGAGGGAAGAGAACTGGGAGCAGGAATGCATGAGTGCCTATGGGGGTGGGTAAGGATGGGAGGGAGCATGATGGAATGTCCCTGGAGGCAATGACCTGTCCAGGCAACAGGACAAGAAACATCCCACAGCCTAAGGTTGAAAAAGCTTTCCTTTTCCTGAGAACATTTTTTTTTTTTTTTTTTTTACTTTTTGATAACATGGATTTTTATGTTAAAAACCCATGTTTTAACAAAGTAAGTGTAAATATTTAAAGGAGAAGGAATTTGTTTGTCTTATGCTAGAAGCAGGTGGCATAGGCAGTGGTGAGAGAGTTGGGTTTGGACCTCAAGGAGGTGAGTTCAAATCTCGGCTCTGGCCCGTGTGACTTCAGCCAGATCACTTGGTCTCTATGGGCATGAGCTTCCTCATCTATAAAATAAGGGAACTGAACTAACTGATCTCTGGAGTCTTCTCTGGCTCGTCATCTATCACTCTAGGACCTATTGGCTTTGAAACTATTAAAGAAATCTTATCTAACTGGCATGTGCATGTCCCAAATCCCAAGAATAGAATTGATGGTGAGAGACTGACAAATTGAGCCCAAATTAAATTTTAAAAAATGAGGGCTTATTCACAAACAGCATTTAATCTGCTGTATGTAACATGAATAAATAAGGATTAGGACCTTTCTTTTCTTAGGGTAAAATTCATTGAATAATTTTGTCCTTTTATTCAGAAAGATAAATGAGAAAGGGTTATCATTCCTGCCTTCTCTCCTTGGAATAAACTGGGAAGGACTCATTTGAGGTGGGGACCTTTCACTAGGGCCTGGGAGGAGGAGGATCAGGTCCTTGAAATATCTGTAGTGGTGTTGGTACAAGCATTGGCTCTACTCCTCTGTGCCTCAGGAACACGTCTTCACGAGCTGCTGAGGCCAGGAGTTCCACATCTTGTAGATACATACCACAGTGGGAAGGCTCTCCAAATCCAGTTTAGCTGGTCCTCATGGCCATGCTGACTCCTACCAGTCTTAGGCTCTAAGACTTTCTAGTTTGGTGACACCTGTAAGAGCATGGACCAAACCTTCAAGAACCTAGGGACCCATGAGTCCATGATGTAGCCCCAGCATAAGTCTTGAATGGTGAAGGAAGGTCATAGGGGTAAATGGATGGTCCTATTGGATCAGTAGAGGAGAAGAACCATATAGCTAGACCACAGCTTAGGAGCTGGATGGGGTGGTGGAGTCTATAGGTTTTTGTCAACTGCACTTATGGGGCTGAGTAATCCTCATAGCTGGCAGACAGGGACCTTCAAGGTCATTGATTTTAACTCTCCCATTTTTGAGATGAGGAGCTTAAGGCCCATAGGAGACAAGCCACTTGCCCATGGTCACAGAGCTAGGAAGGGTTGGAGGCAGGATCTGAACCCAGACCTTCCTGATTCCAATGGCAGGGCTCTATTACACCATATTGCTTGTCAGAGGGCTTGGCCAGCGTGCTGCTCATCCTGCTGCCACCACCACCACCACTACCACCAAATACAAATTCCTGTTTCTGGGGCAAATTCCTTAAGACCCAATTACTTGCCCATGCCTTGTATTTTCTCCAAAGTCCTTACCCATTTGACTTGTGCCTACAACCCTCTCACCCCCTTCCCAGAGGCCTTGAGGGCTCTCCTTACAATTGCTTCATGTCTCTTGTCTACCCACCCCTCTGGATTTGTTGGTACTGGTGAACTCCTGGGCTTCACAGCCTCCCTCTAGACCTCTGAGACGTGCCAGCTCAGTGGCAGACAGCAGTGCAACATGATGGCCAGCAGGTGGAAGTGTTTGAGGCCACAGAATGAAAGTTCTAGTGTCTAGGACTAGGCAGTGGCATTTGTGCTGTTCTCTTCTCTGGTCAGGCTACACTTGATCATCAAGTTTAGGAGAAACATTAGAAACACTTCACATATAAGCTGGAGTGTGTCCAGAGGAGGTAAACCAGGAGGGTGAAATACCCCAAACAAGGCCATGCAATAATTGTTTGAAGCCTCCAGGCATATTTATCCTGAAGAAGAGAAGGTAGAAGAGGGAAGAGCATCCCTACTTTAAAATGCTTGAAGCCTTGTTGCATCAAAGAGGAATTTGTCCTCATCTCCTCCAATGTCAAGGGCAGGAACTACCACAGGGCATGGAAGCTATGGAGGAAGGAAGCCAATTATTGTGTAATTAAGGTAGGACATTGTGACTACTTCTGCCATCCCAAAGAAAATGGGATGCCTTGGTTGGTCTCTCATTGATAGAGGGCTTCTTGTGGAGACCGGAGGGACACTCTTCAGGAATGTGGCGGAGGATATCCAAGCTTCAGAACTCATTTGGCTTCAATGATCTCTGAAATTTCTTCCAATTGGGAGATTCAAGGACTTATTGATACTTCTTTGGCAGAACGAAGACAAATCCTCAGGTTTTGTGACAATGAACCCTACACTCTTTTTTGACCCCTTGAGTAAGTTTTATTAAGTGACCTGTGATAAAAACACAGACTATGACAGAAAGAAATGATGTTAGTTCTACTTATTCATTTGGCAGATGAGGAAACTGAGATGAGTGACTCCCTCAAATTCTTTTTTTAAAGTAAGTTTCTATTAATGTCTTTTTTTCTTACATCATAGTGATTCCTAGTAGCCTGCTATCTACCCCTTCCAGAGAGGCATCCTATATGACAGATAATTATTTCATAAAAAGTGAAAGAAAAAGCCAGCTCAACAGATTAACATGTTGAAAAAGTTGGGAACCATGTGCAATGTGTAACCTCTGCTGACCTCCCACCTTCCCAAAAGGGGTGACTTAGGGCTGTCTTCTCCTCTTTCTTCATTTGAATCCTGCTTGATTTTTGTAATTGTGTTACATCCACTTTTAATGTTTTGGTAGATCATTTTTCTTTTTGTTAACTTTGTTCTAGTTACTACATATATTGTTTTCTTGACTCTGCTGACTAGTCTGCATCAGTTCCTAGAAATCTTTTCATGCTTCTTTGTAATCCATCACATTAATAATTTCTACTATATGCTTGTCACATAAGACATTTAATAAATGTTTATTGACTGACTAGCACAGTAATATCCAATTATACTCACGTATCACAATTTGTTTGACCACTCCTCAGTTGTTGGGCATCTGTTTGTTTATATTTCTTGGTTATCACAAAAAGTGCTGCTATAGATATTTTGGCATATTTGGAGACTTTCTACTGAGATGGTCTTCCAAGTCTCATAGTTGAGAGGAAGGCACATGGATGTCAAGTGAAATTGGTTTTCAGGTTAACATTTCCCTTTTGGCTCATTGGGATGTTATTATCAGTCAGGCAAAGGGACATCCGTTTTCTTTGTTGTTCTTGCCTGATCTTTGGGTTAAATATTCAAAGAGGAAGTGGAGGCTTTTAACAAGGCAGCAAAGTGAGGGGAGTGGCCTCAGCATTCACCAAGCCCTGCCAGGATTTCACAGACTATGAAACCAATTCGTGAAGAAACTGCTCTGTTGGTGCTAGTATAGATGCTGTAAGACAGATACCAATGGAATTTCCTCTGGAAGATTCACTTTCTTCAAAAAAATTGAAATGTTTTATTTGGAGAAGAAGGATATGGTATAGCATGTACCAGGACGACCAGCCTTGGAGCCCAGCAAACCTGGACATAACACATTAAAGCTGGGTAACCAGGGGCATCCTACTGGTCCAAATGAATGATCTAAGTCACTAACAATAAGAGAAATACAGAGCAAAACAGCACTTCACCCCTTGGTGTCCTCAGGAAGCTCCCTGAGACTATAGACTGCAAATGAGTTAGATCTAAGTAAAGGTGGAAAGAATTTCAGGGAATCCAATCAGATGACAAGTTTATACCTCAAGGAAAACATTGTGGGACAAGTACTTAGGTTTTGAGAAGACAGTATGAAAAGGAAGGGATGGGGCCCTCACCTTTCAGATTTGCCCTCTTTGCTGAGAGGCAATCTTCCTCTGTGTGCATGTTCTCACTTTCACATCTGTAGGCTAACAGGATGTCTGATAAAGGAGATCTGGAATAGGTTCACTGAATGTGACTTTCCCTATGCTTTTACGAAGACTCAGATCCTTATCCTCCTTTAACCTTTAAGTT